GACTATTTAAATGCTTCGGCATTTTAAATATAGGAAACACAAAAAAACGATATATAACAAACACAAAAACGGCAATGAAAACTTAAACGATATAAAATAACACAAACAACAAACAAAATAAACGAAATAATACACGAATTAAACGAAATATTCAAAAACACAACTGACAGCTTCGAAATTCTAAAACGTCAAATTCTTTTTTATTTGTCATTTAAATATGAAATATTTGAATGTAAATATGACAACATCTTAATTGTTGCCAACTGAAGAGGTTTAAAATGCATTCAAATATTCAATTACAGACTTCGATTTAGTCATTTAGTGTTGGTACCAATGCGTAAAATTTTTGTTTTATTGATGACGTGTACGTAGTTTACTTTTAAATTTACTATAGGTATACCAGAGACTGACTTTAGATGGCAAAATTTTTAGGTTTTATATCAGAAAATGTCTTTAAAAATGGCTAAAAACATACTTTTGGCGGTGCATCATATAGGTTATAAAAACTCAGACTTTTGACATTTTGGTATTATTCATGTAAACGCCATCTATCGCCCTGTAGTTGCACTACCACTTTCCCTTGATGCAAGGATTTTAGCATCACATTGACAACCGTGCCCGATCAGCTGATTGATGACGTGTACGTAGTTTACTTTTAAATTTACTATAATCTTCTTAGGCTAAATGTAGCAAAGTATTCCTCAAGGTTATGACGATTAGCTGTCATTTTGGTAATAGAAAACGGTTTTTGGTTATGCAGGTACACTGCATTGTGCCATACCAAACTAACCCAAACTTAACAACCCAACCCAACCGACCCCGCCACATTGGGCCCCTTCACATAATAGTATCAAAACATAACCTATATTTTGGTACATTTAAACGGTTGGGTTGGGTTGTTAAGTTTGGGTTAGTTTGATATGGCACAATGCAGTGTACCTGCATAACCAAAATGACAGCAAATCGTCATAACCTTGAGGAATACTTTGCTACATTTAGCCTCTAGTCTAAAATGTAGTATCCTGGTAATTTTAGTTTTAAACCAAAATGACAGCAAATCGTCATAACCTTGAGGAATACTTTGCTACATTTAGAGGCCTATTCCCTTTCTTCCTGTTCGTAAACATCGATTTCTTAACATGTATGTTCACCCAACGACAAGCCAAACATCACTTATGTAACATGCAAAGAACACCTTTGCCTCTAGTCTAAAACAAAGTTGTGTTCTTTGGTCTAAAATGTAGTATCCTGGTAATCAGTGTGACCAACTTAAAATTAGAGAAACTGCCACGCTTTAGCTAGAAAACTGCCAAATACTGCCAAACCCTATCAAAGAAAATGCCAAAATAGTGCCAACTTTATTTAACAAAGTAATGAAATAAAAACATTTTTCAAATAAAATTTGTATTCACAACATAAAAAAAAATAATTTAACATTTACCTACAAGTAAAACAACTTAATAAACATCGACATTTAAATCATATTCTTCTCTGTTATTTTCGTTATACATAGATTTTTTAATTTGTTTCACCATTTCCTTGGTGGGTTGAAATGAAATGCAATCGCCATGTTCACTAATGCCTTGTTTGACATGCAATATTGAGGATACATGTTTATTGAGAAATCTATTTCGTATTTTTGTTTTAATCAGATTAATTTGAGAAAAGATTCTCTCACACGCAGCGTTGGACATCGGCAAACACAACAGCCCCTTCGCAAAATTTGAAATATGTAAATATTTTTTTTGCCCATTGGAATTTTTCATTTTGCCAATAGCACCCCAAAACTTATCAACACTTAAAATTGAATTGGAACTACTTCCGCCTGATTCCAACAAATCCTCCACGTCTTTATCAAGTTTAAGTTGTCTGTACTCTTCATCAATTTTTTGGATATGATTATCATTGGCAAGATTAGGAAAATTGTTGATTATATTTGCAATGGACGAAATGTCTTCATATACGACGTGTTGGGGTGCTAAAAACTTCAAATCCCTAAACAAGCTGTTTAATGGCAGTCGTGTTTTTAATTGAGAGCAAAGCTCAATTAAAAATGATTGCATACGATCTAGAAATGTCCGAATTTGGTCGTTGAAATCTTTTCCTAGGCGATCAATTTCTCTACCGACGCGTCGTCGCGACGTTAACACCCAAATACATCTGCTTTAGAGGTAAAAAGTTAACGGTAGATTTGGGGTCTAGATCTAATGGGTCTGTGCATTTTATGTAGTTGCTTTTCATGTAGCAACTCAACAGTGACATAAACATTGCAGAAACGTCTTTAAAGACCATGTGCACAGTCGTATTATCTCCCTGAAATATGGTGTTTAATTTGTTAACAATTGGCAATATATAATCTAATGCATAAAAATAAAGTTTTAGAATATTGTCATTAAAACTTTCACACAAAAATTGGGTTGAAATATTTTTGTCATTCAAATATTGCCCTTGAAAATACAGTTTGAGTGCATTCCATTGTTCAAGAATTCTATTAACACATGAGTGAAATGACAACCAACGAATATCATAATGCTGTAATATTTTGTGTTTTTCAGATCTTACAAATTCTTGAAAGTCAGATAATTCCCTTTGCCGTTTGCTACTGTGAGCAAAATACCCATATACCTCCTGAACAACTTGGTAATTTGTCCTTACTTGCATGGCTAACTGATAATGCAGTGGAATGCCAAACACATTTTATAAAAACACAATGCGGATTTTCTCCTTTAATTTTGGCAATAACTCCACCACGATCACCAAACATTACATTTGTAGTATCAGCACCAAAACCAATGGCATTTTTAATATCAAGATTTACATCTTGCAATGCCTTCGAAAGTGCGTCAAACAAGTGTTGTGCTGTTTCACCTTCTAAATCAACCAAAGTTAAAAATTTCATTTTTACTTTTAAACATTTTTCAGAATAATATTTCGTTACAACAGCAAGCATTTTTGTCGAGGAAACATCTGTACTTTCGTCCATAATTAGAGAAAAAACTGGTGCCTGAGAACTTATGTTTTGATAAGATTTTAAATCCTCATGCATTTCCCTCTCCAATTCAGGTTTTAAAACATTATAAGTTAACGCAGCAGCTTTGGTTCTTTTACAAGAAAATAATTTGGCAACTTCTGGATTAAAAAAGCACTTGGAAATAATTTCACTCATATGATCCATTAAGTGAAATGGCAAATTATGCCCTACTAACAACGCACACATATTAAGCTCTGCTTTTTTCACCTCAACTTCTATTGGAGAGTCTTTAAAAACGTTGCACCTGAAGCAAATAATTGAGTTTAGAATATTTATTTAATTTAATGGTTCAATATAACGTTATAATGCGTAAATACTGCAATTTAAACACTTACCGAGGATTGCCCGCTATATCCAATCATGTTCTTAACGTGTTTTTTAGTAATAGCATATGCTATTACTAAAAAACACGTTATGCTCTTTTAAAGCAGACAGTCTTGACACTAATTTTGTATTGCATGCTTTACAAAATGCTACGTCTGGATCTTCTTTAGATTTCGATATCCATGATGAAAGCACTGGATCTTGTTCCCACTCCGGGCGATATGCTCTTTCGTATTTTCGATTCATTTCTGATTCAGAATATTCAGAAATTCTGAATATTTTATAGGTTATATAACATATTTTCTGTGAATTCCGCGAAACGTTTGGGTTAGCACTAATCTAGCGGCAGTGATTTAAAACAAGGAAAGAAGGATCTATTTATTATAGAATACTACTACTTGCGAATTAAATGCCCTAGAGATGGCGCTCTACTAAAAAAAATCATAGAGAATGAAATAATTTAATAAAGTATGGAAAAAAATTACATTATTTCGATATTTTTTCCTGTAAAACTGCCAAAAACTGCCAAATTTCATAAAATGCCAACTAATCTGCCAGAGGTTAAATTAAAGGGCAAATCCTGCCAAAAAAGCAGGAAACTGCCACATATGGTCACACTGCTGGTAATTTTAGTTTTAAACTGTTGGCAGCGCGGGTTGACTGCACAGTGTTGACATAAGGTTTGTCCAGTGATGCCAACTCGTGGGAAATTTCCCATTTTGAGGGAAATTTTACCTTAAATTGAGACAAATGGGAAAAAGGGAAATATTTTTAGAAAAGGCCGTCCATGAGGGAAATTTATATCAATTCAAAATGAAAATTTATAATTAACCCTTTCCTACTTTTTCTAATCAAATAATTCGGATTTTTTTAAATTTTATGACTTTTTTTCGTATTTCATACAAAAAATATATATAACTTTTAATGTAACAAAACTTTATTTGGATTTACATAATAAAAATATGTATTCTTTTAAAAATCAAAACAATAGGCCGTATTTATAAAAGAAAGGATATGCTTATACTTGCAAAATATGAACGAAATCCTTCAGCTTTTATATACATATAATCATTAATACAAGCTAATTTCCTTCAAGCATAAGGATATATCCTTTTTTATCAATATGGCAAACTGTTTTATAATTTTATTTTACATATATTTTTGTATTTATACACGTTGTTTTTTATAGGTTTACTAATAAATACTGTTGTTAAATTTTTAAAATGCTATATATTTTTGCAAAATAATATCTCTTATATTTTAAAAAATGGGTAACAGCATATTTTAAAAAGCGTGGGAAAAAAGGGAATTTTTGAACATTTTCGAGGGAAATTTGTTGCAAAAGGGTTGGCAACACTGGGTTTGTCAGAGATAAGGTTTGTTCAAAGTTCGCTAAGAACCGTCCTAGAACTGTTTGCTCATGCGAATAAGATAAAAAACGTCGAAACATGCAAAGTAATTATTGAAGCCAAACAATTGTTGTAAATAGAAACCACCTCAAGAAAAAAGGAGAAAAACCCAAAGTCTGTACGTTATCTTTCAAATTCAATACGTTTTTATTGCCATTTCAGTACTTTAATTTTTCTACTGGCAACACTGCTCGTCAGTGACGATCGTCACAGACAGGGTGGACTGCTGTATTGTCAAAAACCTTGACTAATAAAACAAATATTTTAGTAATTAATAAGCATTAAAATATTCTTTGATATACATTAAATGGAAAATACTTTTTGAGTAAAAATAGTTTTTAACTAAAACAAAGCGAACACAAAATTTTTCATAAGACTTGACAACATCGTTGTGTTCAAATGTTTTCGTTTGTAATCGGCTCGCCGGTTAAAGGTTAAGAAAATTTAGCAAAAAAATTTAGTAAAAATGGACAATATCGACGTTTGTTCTGTGGTTGTTAGTCAAGAAGAAAATGCTGGGGACGTTGAAGTTGCTGCTCCCACAGAAAAATCCGCTGTGACCAAAAAATCTCCAAACCAAAACCGAAAATTTCTTCGTTTGCCTCTAGCAAGAGTTAAACACATGATGAAACAGGACCCTGACGTTTCCATTATCGGACAGGATTCGGTCTTTCTCGTTGCAAAAGCAACTGTAAGTTTATTTACTTAATATTTATTGTTATTTATTGTAATTTACTTTCAGGAAATGTTTATTGAAATGCTTGGCAAGAAAACTTCCGATCAAATAGCTAATACCAAAAGAAAGACCATGCTAAGACGTGATGTGGATTCTGTGGTCGCTAAAATCCCTAACCTGTGTTTTCTTGAAGGGACTTTAGATTAATGTTACATATTTATATCTTTTTTGTATTGTTCGGGTTAACATGTTATAAAGTTTAAGTATTTTTAATATTTGTTTTATTTAATTTAGTACTTAGTGCTTAACATTAAATTTTGTTTTATTTACTAAAGTAGGTACCTATTAGTAGCTACTTTGTTGTGTTGTCAAATTGTTGATATAAAGTATCAATGGTTATTTGACAAAACATCGTAAGCGACAATTTTGAATTACTTTTTATTTTATCAAAGTCTCAGTTACGATAAGCTGCACATGTTACCATAATAGTTATCCCAATTTTGGAATCTAATATTGGTCAGTTTGAATATTTTTATTGTAAGCGCCTATATCGATGGTTATTTGACAAAACATCGTAAGCGACAAAACCTAAATTTTACGGCAGATTTTTTTTGTGTGGGAGCTTTATTTTTAAAGTTATGTATCTGAAAACTGGTGAGCCCGGACAACAATTGGGATTTCCTGGTGAAGTCATGATGATATCACAACGTGATTTTTTTTTATCACGCTGTGATATCAGGATATATATCCTGCGTGCATACACATGCTTCATCACAGTGATATCTTGTTAAGCTAGGATCAGACGGTGCAGCCTCTCGCGGCGACTTTATCGCTGCAACAAGTTGCAGCGATTTTGTTGCACACAAGGTATTCACACGAACCAACTAAATTGGCGCAATTTTCCACCAGGATTGCCAATTTTTCCGAAAATTACTAAGGGGAAAAATAAAAATACCTGTTCTGATTTAAATGTATAACATATATGTTTTCGTTATTTCGTTAAAAGTGTTTAGTGCATAGATTAAATAAATGGTAGTGCTTATTATTATTAACAATAACAAACATTTAATGTTTTATTAAACTAGACTACTACACACTCTTAAAAATAAGGTTGTTATCTGTCATTCCATTTGACAAATATTAAGTACCAACCTTATTTTTTAGTGAAAATTCGTAAACCCCTGTAAAAGTTACTAAGTCGCCGCAACTTTATTGCATGAAAAATAGAACATGTTCTATTTTAGGACAAGTTTGATCAACTGCTTAGTTTCATTGTGTGAACAACAAAAAATCGCCGCAACCTGGTTGCCGCGACAAAGTTGCTGCAAGAATTTGCACCGTCTGATCCTAGCTTTATATTTACATCCCCCTTATGTATCAGCCATATAACAATGTTATATATCTACAATGGAACAATGATACATCATTGATATATGGCAATGTTTTATAGTATCCATATAACCTTATTATATTATTTACATAGTTTTTCTTTATTTTGTTACATAATTATAATAAAAAATTTTAATATAATAGTTATATCAAAATGATCCCTTCTTGTTATATTTACATCCCTATTATGTCATGGCTATATAACAATGTTTTATACCTACATTGTAACAATGATATATAAATGTTATATATTCATGTTTTATAGTATTTATATAGCCTTTTTATCTTACTAACGAACTCGTTTAAACGGTTGTGTCGAGTGCTCTCTATATTGTGTTTTAAGTTTAGTTAAGTTTGATTCCATTTTTTTATAATAAAATGGAAGAAAAAAATATATTTCCCTATCCCGGAGGCAAAAGCGGAGGAGAATTAATGCAGATCCCAAAACAATGTGGAAAGTGTACCTTTGCCAGAATATACTGAGGCTAAAACCGAAGTATTATCTTTCCCTAACCAGCCAATAAATAAACATAAAATAAAAATATTTTTACAGAAAATTTGGGAGAATATTCAGGAGGTAAAAGTTTTGTGTAACATGTTAATTAAGGTTTAAAATCGCCCTTTATTTACTTACAAATTCAGCCTCTACTTCTTTTTGCAATAATTATTAATTTAATTTAATTATTAATGCATTATTGCAAAAAGAAGTAGAGGCTGAATTTGTAAGTATATAAAGGGCGATTTTAAACCTGTTTGATAATGTTAATTTGTTTTTAAAACAGGGTGCTAAAAAACAAGCGACAAATTATAATTTTATGATATTTGGTAGCCAAAATAAGAGTTTAATTTCTATAATTTTTTAACTTTATACTGTTTTTTCAACTGGTAAAAGATACAATAATTTTGCTAAATAACCAAGATGGATACACTTTTTTATTATAATTGTTGTGACAATTAATTTTATGCATTTCCATATTTTTATTATTTTTATATACCTATCTTAAGGTTGCAGGGTGCATTTGACTTGAATTAATAAAATCAAACAAATTATTATTTGTACCAAATAGCATGTACATAACTACATAAAGAATAGTTGTTCTTTGTTTCGAAAACAAATCAATAAACAAAAATAATATTAAATTGTATTTTTTTTTCAGTATATAAAAATGAAGGCGTCTCCGAAAAAGATTCTACAGTTTAAAAAAAATCTTCTCTAATAATCTGGCAAAAGATTGCTCTTGGCTAGGCCTAAGAAACAACAAAAAAATACACAATTTAAAATTTGTTGAAATATTGAAGGGTAAAAATTTGTAAGTTTTATGGCTTTTTTTATTAAATATTTTTTTTTAAGCTGCTTAAGACAATAATTTTGAAAACATAGTTACCGAATGGTTCCGGCAGCCCAAACAACCCACACGGCATGTTGTTATATATATATGTCTGAAATATTTCAGTCATATTTCAGTGGAAATATTACAAACGAAATATGCCTGAAATATTTCAGACATCTAGATTTGACATAGCTGTTGCATAGTAAGGAACAATTTTTATGTAAATGTTATATCACTGTGACATCCCAGCAAACCAAATCATGTCACAGTGATATAACATTTACATAAAAATTGTTCCTTACTATGCAACAGCTATGTCACCTATATGTAATGGCAATGCTCCTATGTCCGCCTCAAGACGCCTTCCTGGGTATGTAACTGTGATGTAACAGTGTTTTATCATAGTTATGTAACTGTAATGTTACAGCGCCATATCATAGTTATGTAAACGTGATAAAACAATTATATTCTATTTACATAAATGTTGCATTCTATTTACTTATTATTTATGCAATATTTACTTATTATATATATATATAAAATGTATGCAATATTTACATATTATTTATGAAATAATTATAAATATAATTTTATGTAATATATTATCTTACTGGCATTAAAAATTGCTTAGCCCCAACTTGGTATTATGGCAAATTTTTTGAAAAAAAAACAACAAAATTTTAAAATTGCCATAATACCAAATTAGAACTAAGAAATTGTTAATGCCAGTTAGATAATATATTAAATAATTTATAAATAAATATTACATAAATAATAATAAACATTGCAGAAATAAATTTATCATTAATGATTCTGAAAGAGATTAAAAAAAACACAAATTGGTTAAAAATGTTTATTAAAAAATATTTTAATTAAAAAAAAAAACAAATCATTTCTTCTTTCTAAAGGGCCAAATAAATATAAAAACAAACATTGTAAAATATGAAAAAATCACTTTAATTTTAATTTTACAAACGAAAAGTTTTTCAATTTTTTCAAACTTTAACAAAAAAAACCGAAATACATTAATACTTCAAGGCTAAAAAATATATGGTAAGAAAAGAGAAAGCAATCTCATGAATTTAATATTAATATACCTTCTTTTCATGGGTTTTTTGTTTCCCTCACAAATCTTTGTTTAGGCTGCCGGAACCATTCAGTAACTATGTTTTCAAAATTATTGTCTTAAGCAGCTTAAAAAAAATATTTAATAAAAAAAGCCATAAAACTTACATTTTTACCCTTCAATATTTCAACAAATTTTAAATTTTGTATTTTTTTGTTGTTTCTTAGGCATAGCCAAGAGCAATCTTTTGCCAGATTATTAGAGAAGATTTTTTTTAAACTCTTACTGTAGAATCTTTTTCGGAGACGCCTTCATTTTTATATACTGAAAAAAAAATACTATTTAATATTATTTTTGTTTATTGATTTGTTTTCAAAACAAAGAACAACTATTAATAGTTGTGAATTCTTTATGTAGTTATGTACATGATATTTGGTACAAATAATAATTTGTTTGATTTTATTAATTCAAGTCAAATGCACCCTGCAACCTTAAGATATATCTTATATATATCTATATCTTATATATATCTATATATAGGTATATAAAAATAATGAAAAATATGGAAATGCATAAAATTAATTGTCACAACAATTATAATAAAAAAGTGTATCCATCTTGGTTATTTAGCAAAATTATTGTATCTTTTACCAGTTGAAAAAACAGTATAAAGTTAAAAAATTATAGAAATTAAACTCTTATTTTGGCTACCAAATATCATAAAATTATAATTTGTCGCTTGTTTTTTAGCACCCTGTTTTAAAAACAAATTAACATTATCAAACAGGTTTAAAATCGCCCTTTATATAAAAGAAGTAGAGGCTGAATTTGTAAGTATATATATACTTACAAATTCAGCCTCTACTTCTTTTTGCAATAATGTTACTCAAAACTTTTACCTCCTGAATATTCTCCCAAATTTTCTGTAAAAATATTTTTATTTTATGTTTATTTATTGGCTGGTTAGGGAAAGATACTACTTCGGTTTTAGCCTCAGTATATTCTGGCAAAGGTACACTTTCCACATTGTTTTGGGATCTGCATTAATTCTCCTCCGCTTTTGCCTCCGGGATAGGGAAATATATTTTTTTCTTCCATTTTATTATAAAAAAATGGAATCAAACTTAACTAAACTTAAAACACAATATATAGAGAGCACTCGACACAACCGTTTAAACGAGTTCGTTAGTAAGATAAAAAGGCTATATAAATACTATAAAACATGAATATATAACATTTATATATCATTGTTACAATTTAGGTATAAAACATTGTTATATAGCCATGACATAATAGGGATGTAAATATAACAAGAAGGGATCATTTTGATATAACTATTATATTAAAATGTTTTATTATAATTATGTAACAAAATAAAGAAAAACTATGTAAATACCATATAATAAGGTTATATGGATACTATAAAACATTGCCATAGATCAATGATGTATCATTGTTCCATTGTAGATATACAGTATGTCTCAGTATCTTGGAATCATATGGAAAACTTTTTTATTATTAATTTTAGGAAAAAAAGTTATTCTTCATAAAAAGTTCTGCATGGTGTAAAACTTAAAATGCAACCCACAAATATTAATTTTTTTTAGTCGTATACGAGGTATGTCAAAAAATATGAATTTGGCGCAAGAGTAAAGTACCTTTATATTTGACAATATCGAAAATTGTTATAAAGAAAAGTTAATCAGAACTAAAAACTACGTTTAAATATGCAATTTCATACATTTACATTAAAAAATTAGGTTTTGTTAATTTTTACTAATCTTTCTATTTTAAATGAACATTTATCTGTTATGATTAGAAAAAACATGAAAACCTTAAGTTAAGTCAGGGGATCTAGCAGGCCAAAAAGTATTAGAATATCAACAAATCATTTGTTTATCAGTGAATCCTAAATTACATGTTACAGTTAAATTTGCATTGATATTGTAGACAAAAAAGAAAAAATATTTTTTTTAATATAAATGGATGTAATGGCATATTTGAACGTAGTTTTTAGTTCTGATTAACTTTTCTTTATAACAATTTTCGATATTGTCAAATATAAAGGTACTTTACTCTTGAGCCAAATTCATATTTTTTGACATACCCCGTATACGACTAAAAAAAATTAATATTTGTGGGTTGCATTTTAAGTTTTACACCATGCAGAACTTTTTATGAAGAATAACTTTTTTTCCTAAAATTAATATGAAAAAAGTTTTCCATATGATTCCAAGATACTGAGACATACCGTATAACATTGTTATATGGCTGATACATAAGGGGGATGTAAATATAACAAGAGGGGAACATATTTATATAAATGTTATATTACTATGTTTTATCATAATTATCTAACAAAATAAAGAACTAATATGTAAATGTTATGTAAACAATTTTATATGGCAATGATCTTTGTTAGTTATATCATGGCTATGTAAATGGAACAGCCTGGTTTGAAATGTGTTTTGGCGCTATGAATCACCAATTCATTCTAGTTGCATTTTTATTGGTAAGTTCCAATGAAGTCAACGGCTTGGATTGGAAAATACCAATCCATGCCTATGCTTGTCTTATTGGCTAAACCCAATAGAAATGCACATGGAATGAATTGGTAATTCATAGCGCCAAACCCATTCAAACCAATTTATTTTTTTAAATTTGGAAATAAAAATACCAGTTTCATTAAAAAATAGATCCCAGAAGAATAACCGGGTAAAAACCAGAATTCATTTTTCACAGAAGAGACAAAAAAAATTATTATAACTGAGTAGGTAGGTAACTTTATTATTTTTTTATGTTAGTGAGATATGTATTGATACATATAACTTACTAACACAAAAAAATAATAAAAAATATATAAAATATAAAGAATAACTGGGTAAAAACCAGAATTCATTTTTCACAGAAGAGACAAAAAAATTATTATAACTTAGTAGGTAACTTTATTTCTATATTATTTTTTTATGTTAGTGAGATATGTATTGATCATCGATACATATAACTTACTAACACAAAAAAGTAATAAAAAATAAATAAAATTACTCGGTTATAATAATTTGTTTGTCTTTCTTGCAAAGGATGTTTGTAGGCATGGTCGAAATCAATATTATTTAAAAATAATCAATATTATTTATAAATAATTATGTTAAATTTTTTTTATTTTGTCCGCTGTAACCACCATTCTAACGCCATCGTCCCTAAACCTTACACATATAAACATTTTTTTAAGATATAACTACACTACTATCACTAGGCACTTAACACAGAAATCGACTAATAAAAAAACCGCTAATAAATGCCGTCCAAAGACTTGTTTGTTTTGTTTTTTCTTTATGATGGCGTCTCAACCTCCTTGGTTTTGCGCAGCTACACGAGAGCCCTCTTGCGATATTTGTATTGTATTGGGAATCACCAATTAGCAGATTTTTCGAATCTTACACTGGGAATGCCCAATTGAATTCAATTGGAAATTACCTATAGGTAGCTTTATCCAATCGAAACCGCTAAAAAACTAGAATCCTAATTGGATTTTTCCATATTTAAAAGTATATTTGCAATTACTTATTTTACTTATTTTGTATTGGATTCTATTGGTCATTTGTAATTACAATAGAGTTTTAATTTTAAAAGTCTCGATACTATTTTTAAATACTATAAAATTTAACTTACCAATTTAATCTAAATAATTTTATAAAATATTTATTTAAGATTTACAAAATTCTTCCCGAATAAATTATAATTAAAAAATAATTTTTTATTAAAAATGATGGTTAGATTTTTTGCAAAAATTTATTGGAAATAAAATGGTTTAATACAGAAGTGAACTGTTAGTAAATTTCGCCTTTTAGGTAATAATACCTAATAAAAGTAAAAAATATTTTAAATTTATACACCAATATTTTTAGTTGGGAAAATTTAAAATTAAAAAATTATTTAAAAAATATCAAAACGGCGTGCCACAGTTTTTGGTCATCTTAGTAAGTTTTAAAATTATTTAAATTGTTTCCAAATATAATATAATAAAGGGAATTATATATATATATATATATATATATATATATATAGTAATTTACAAAAACAGAATTTTAAATAATTTAATAAATTTTGTATATACGAGTATAATCACATGGTATATTTAATTTATAACTTTTACTTTATATGAAATAAGTTGATCAAGCCCTACATACACATCACTCATTACAAAAACTTGATAATTGTAGGTACCTAAAAAATAAATATTTAATTTAATAATAAATAATAACACGTAAATCAAACCTCTTTCAGCTGGTGTTAAAATGGGAATTTCAATTTTCTTATTCCTCCTATTGAAAGCAAATTTTTTGAAAATCATATTTTCCCTTTCAACGAATATCAAAAACCAAAACTCTTCTTTCTGTTTGTTGAACTTTTTGCTGTATACGTTCATTTTAGCGGAGCCATCTCTGATAATATCCCAGTAAAAGACGTACTGACTATTTGCATTTAACTCTACAGTTAATTCTTTGTCTTCACTTTTAATGGGAATTGTAGTGGAATTTTCAATTAATTTTACTGATGTTTTTAGGCTTAAAATGGGCATATCGCTGACAATTTTTATTATTTCAGCTGCCGATTTTTGCCCAACCAAGTTTTGAAACACTTTAGTAACTTTGGTTAAATTCTCCTTGTTTTGGATGATATTTCTTAAAATTGTTATTGTGAGTTCATGCCTCTCAGATATAAGAAGGTTGGCGTCTGCCAATTTATTGACTAGCTCGTAATAATTGTCTCTATTTATACGAGGTAGCATTAAAACGTTCGGATCTGTCACCATCATTCCTTGAATTAACATTTGGCAGAAGTAGATTAATTTTGTGGTACAATCCAACCAATTATTGCTTGCCGACATGCTCATCATGGCCTAAAATATTTTCATTTTATATTTTATATTTTATATTTTACTCGTCATTTTTACAAGATTTAGTCATTTTTACTGGATTCCAGTACACTATATTTACCAAGTCTAGTGCCCATACTGTATGCACAAAACTTAGGTATGACAACACTGTATATCTGGAATTTTAAATCTCTTAAATTTAGTTAATACATTGTATTTTTAAGTGCTCATTCATAATGGACGTAACCATAAGATGCCCGTAAGAAATACGTAAAACGTAAAGTTGAATATTAACAAAACCAGTGTGCCTGTTTATAATGAATAGCCGTAACTTTTACGTTTTACGTTCGAACATAAGATCTTATGGGTGACCGTAAAAAATACGTAAAGTTGAAATCATCTCAACTTTACGGGTTTCTTATGTGCACGGAAAAAAAAGTTTAGTTATTTTAATTAAAAAAATTAATCAAATATGCGCCAACAGAACTATTTAATCATTTTTACTAAACTGGGTTCAGTTAAAATTATATTCTTGATTCAACCAATCAGTTTAGTTATTTTTTAACCAGAAAAATTTGGTTATTTTAACTCAACGATCATTGTTTATTTTAATTTCACATAATTTGTTATTTCAGTAAAAAAATGTAGTGCTTTTGATTATTATTTTTTAATAAAAAAAAACTAAGAAAACGTGATAGTAACAATAAATGTTAAATATTTAAATTAATCATTTTACTTAATTATAATTTAATCTAAAATTATAGTTGTTTTAATTACACTTACCTTATTCTTAGTAAACAGTTTTGTTGCTCTTTTTAAAGTTTTGTAAAGAGTATGCATGTATATTAGGGTGTCCCTTATTTTTTATTTTTTTACGCATACCCTCTAATTATATTTATTACGTGTTTATATACTCCCAGTAAAAATTTCAGCTCATTCTATAAACGGGAACCCGTGCCGACTTGCATCTGAACCCTCCGTGAGCCAACGTTAGGCGCGCGGTATTTTGTAACACGGTTGGCCGCGAGGTCTTCGATCGTAAGTCATTTTGTGTTTGTTATTATGTGACCCTTATATTATAAATTATTGACAAATGTTAAAATATAGTTTTATTTATGTGTATACTTTGATAAAAATGTATATTTTCACAGGGAGTGGCTAGTTACCCGGAAGGGTCTAGTGAATATGCCGTAAACTCTGAAATTGATAAACTTAATGGGATTTACTCTAAATAACTAAAAGAGTCTATTGTGAGAGATGACTACCGAAAACTGTCTGAAATATTTTTGGAAGGACATCAAGAAAAGAAATGCTTATAAAAAGCTGAAATTTCATATAACAGTATATTTTAGCAATACTAATTAGTATATTAATATATTTAAGGGATAAAATCAACTAATTTTTTTTTTGGTTATTTTTTAGCTGTCATTCAGATATAATAAAAAAAAGAGTTTCGGGTAATTAGTTTTACGGCCTATTCACCCGACACTTCCGGGTAACTAGCCACTTCCTGTAAAAATATTCATTTTTATTAAAGTACCGTAAACACGGGTGGCTTTGGCTCACTTTCAAACTTCAGCTTAAAATTTTTGTAGTTTTAACAATCATAAACATTAAATTTTGTATACCAAAATTTGAGTCTTGAGTTGCTCTTTCATAATAACTATGTTATAATATTACATAGGGCTAAGTTTCAAAAATAAACATTAAAAACTGGGTGTGCAAAGTTACCCCCTGGTTGCGGGTTACTTTGTCTCACAGTGTTTTTTCAATATAAAATGAATGTATTATTATATTTTATTTTTATTAGACACGTGTTAGCAGCGACATATATCTATTGCAAGGGATTACCCATAAAACAAATAAAAAATCGACCTGTAGTTAACCAAGGATCATCATTCCAATGGATTGCGCATAATATAGAAATTGTAACGCGAGTATTTCTAAGAGTTTTGCACTGATACGATATATACAATTTTAAAGTGTAATAAATCCCATTTCTTTCTTTAAAACACTGATTTTCCTGTAATATAAACTCAATAGAATCGCTCAATTGACAGGTTTAGACCAACAAATTATAAATGTTAATTTTATCGAGCGCGAAAAGATTTTTCATAAATGGGCTAAAGTCACCCGCGGGGTGCAAAGTCACCCGTATTTACGGTATACACATAAATAAAACTATATTTTAACATTTTTTAATAATTTATAATATAAGGGTCACATAATAACAAACACAAAATGACTTACGATCGAAGACCTAGCGGCCAACCGTGTTACAAAATACCGCGCGCCTAACGTTGGCTCACGGAGGGTTCAGATGCAAGTCGGCACGGGTTCCCGTTTATAGAATGAGCTGAAATTTTTACTGGGAGTATATAAACACGTAATAAATATAATTAGAGGGTATGCGTAAAAAAATAAAAAATAAGGGACACCCTAATGTATATATTTAATCGTAAATGAAACATTTATCTCATAAAATAATTTTTATTTATGCTAAGGATGTCTAAACAAATCAAATAATTATTTTTTTAAATATTAAGAGATAGAGGATATTTATTTTTTTAGTTTAATGAAATAAATTTTTCGATAAAAGAAAGCAGTATTTTAAAACCTAAAAACTGAAAATCCCTTAACTAAAAAATTAAACTATAGCTGTAGCCTCAGGATCTTTCCTAACATCTAAATAAACAATTAGTGCGGCAACAAATCGTTTTAGAAGTAGAAAAATACGAACTGGGCTAAATTAATAAAAAATAAATCGTTTATTTTAATCATATTAAAAGTAACATTTCGTATAATATCATCAAATTTAATCACGTGTATAATTTTTTAGAGGTCATCCCTACACCCTATAACTCTAATGAAAAGCTTACATAAGCTTTTCATTAGAGTTATAGGGTGTAGGGATGACCTCTAAAAAAATTATAAAAAGTTATTTTAGCAAATAATAAACTGCATTAATGAAATACCCAAAACTGTATTTTCTACAATATCTTTTTCTATGATATCTTTTTCCACTGAACTACTTGAACAAGATTCTATATCGTCAATAGGCATTAGTATTATTCTTAAATTCAATAAAATTTTTATTAAACTTGGCTAAATCACCTACTTTCAATCCTAATTTGTCAATAAGGGCAGGAGTAAGACTAATAAAAGCCTCATCATCTTCTGCTTATTCTAAAAACAATTATTACTTTTAAAACCCAAAAAAACCCAAACGTCTTTAAACAAACAACGTAAAACTCGTTAACTTTCCTCTGGCAGATGTCTAAAAAATAACCTTCAGAATTTAACCAAACTCTAGGTAGTTGTTTTTATAAACCTATTTAGTTTTTATAACTAAATACTACAGCTGTTTTTAATTTAATATTTTTGTTATTTTCTGTAATTACAATAACTGTAAAATTGATTAAAAGAACTAACCTATTTATATGTTTCAATTAAAACATTAAGGTATTTTTAATCTTATACATTAATATTAAATTAACCTTTTGGTTTTGTAAAATTAATTATAAATTTCGATAAATATAATAATTTTTTTTTAACTAAACACATATAATAAAAATAACTAACGCATTTTTTTTCCGTGTGTGAATTTTAGTAACTTTCATGATTTCACTAGAACATTGTTGGTAGCAATCAGGGTAGTAGCCATGCAAACAGATGACAGATCTTTTTTAAGTGTATTCTGGTGTATCCAACATAGATCATACATCCCCTTGTATGATCTATGGTATCCACAGAACAAACAATCTAAAGAACCGTTCCTTATCCTAAAGTTTTAGTTCGAGTATTATTCGACGAAATTCGCCCTTTTTTTCTTCTCTTTGCCAACGTATATATCGCTATTACACTAAGGTTATGATAACACTGATAGTTTTAACTTAATTTATATTTATAATTATAATTATATTGTCTTAAAACTTTTAAGTTTTAAGACAATATTTTTATTATTTTATTATTTATTTTTTTTTTTTAATATCATTATTTTCATTTTAACTGTCCTGTACAATTGCTTCTAAATAATAAGTACACTTAGAAACTAGATATTTTAATAACATTTTGTCCATGATAGTACGTACAATAATTAAATGAAAATAATTAAGACTCCTAATCAGCACCCTGTGCTGGTGACGGAGACTGTAGCGATTTTTTTTATATTTCGTAGTCATTTAAAAATTTTTTTTTCAAGTTTTCCTTAAATAAATTAATATTTTTAATATTTTTGATTGATTGCGGTAACATGTTATACATTTCCACACTACGATTTATTGGATTATTCAAACCTACAGGGTGTTATGTAATTAATGTTATATATTAAAATACTGAATACCTTTTGACATAAGGAATAAAGGAAAAATATTTAAAAAAACATTTTTCCAAAGATAAAGAAAAAATATGCATTAGAAGTTTTTTATATTTTTTGTGATACGCCACTGGTTACACACTTGTTTATCTCTGCACACCTGTATTTTCTGAGTACATAGATACCAACCAACAAAGTAGCTAGGCGTTGCCAGATGTAAAAAATTGTTACTAAAAATTTTTCTTGCAAAAAAATAAATAAAAACTCAATAAATACAAAAGTTTTATGCCCTTAAAGCTCTAATACCCTTCTGTATTTATTTACTGATCCAGCTTTTAGCTTAAGCAATGATTAGAAAATTTAGTACCTTTGAAATTTTAATTTTTTCATCAGTTTTTTTCTCTGTTTACTCAGATGAAATTGGGACCAGTTCACAATGTTTAAACTTTAAACATTTAATTTGTGTAAATAAATACAAAAGCACTTCCCTTAGTTAAGATATTTACAATTTGAAAACATAACCTAAAATTTAAAAGAAATGCACTAGATTCTGTCATAAAAGTTGGCAGATTTTGTTTGAATTTACCTTCAGTACAAAAATGAAATAACCAACAATTAATAAAAACGCCAAATTGACAATTTGCATTGTTAATTTTGTAATTAAGCTTAATTTAAACAATGCTTGGCAACTTTTTTGAAAGATTTTGGA